TTAGAAGTATATTGCATTCTCAATAGCCTTTTTTTTTTTAACACCCCTCACCCCTTCTCCTCTTCCTCTGCCGGTGTGATGCTGACCACATCACCCATCTTGTGCCGATAGGTCTATAAAAAAAATATAGGTCTAGCCCTATATGCCATATACGCCTAATGGCGTGGAAAAGGGTCCTTTACTTTGTACTTTTTTACTTACACCCCTCTGCTATTTTTATAAAGAAAAATTAATGTGAGTCAAGTCTGTCAAAATTCATGAGCCTGAATGGAGTTAATTACTAGACAGATCATCCTGACTGCACATGAAACCATTCAGTCCATAAGTATTTTGATCCCCTCCTGAGGAAACCCGCAGTGTGTAGCAATAGTGACAGCAGTTCTCTTTTGGTTTAATATGCTCTTGTTTGGCTACAGCCCATTTTACTTGATGCATAAGGAAAACAATGCTGCTAAAGGACAGCAAGGTCTTTGACTTTACTACAACACAATGTGCCAAACCCTTTTAGCTCTTTCAATGCCAAAGAATGAACTATATGTTTACTTATTACTCTATATACGGTTCACATTTCTTGACATGTCCTGCCCAATTCCTTTGCTGGGTTATTCTTTTGTCCTCTCACTGATGCTATGTTGTAGCCCAGTGTCGTGGTTTTCTGTGTTTGTCTTGCTTCTCGTGTGTAGCTTAAGTGATGGATTTGTTCATCTTTTTGCAGGTTTCAGCAACACGATTTATCCTTCTCTGTCTTGGTCTTTCTCTCGCTTTGCTTCCAGAAGTTCTGATGTAAAAAGTCTCATTTACAGTTTGGTCTGGGTGCATTCTCACTTGATTTCATTCTTTGATTGTCCGTTTAATCTAGACATTGTCTTATTCCAACTTTCTCTCTAATGCTGGTATTCATAATCCTTTCCCTTCTTGTGTTGTTAGTGTGACCTTACACAGACAGCGCGTTTCACATGTAATTTTCTGTTTGTAGTGCCCTATTCATTGTCCATGTTTGGCAGTGATAGCATAAGGTTGCGTTAATGCCTTATATTTAATTGTTACTATATAACACTCTGTCCCAAAGCTTTATTTTTCAGTTCATCAGATTTACAGATTGTTGGTCTAAGGTAGGAAAACATGAGCATAGATAATAAGGAACTGGAAACTATCTTGGACTGAAACAGTTGAGGGCACATATTGTCTTCATGAGCTGTGCTTGTCTTGGTGATCTCAGTTTAAAGCCCAAACACTTTTGGGATTAAACTTGTTAATTCTTTTGGTTCCAAGAAATATCTACTGTCAGTGTCTCTGTCCATTCATTTCTCCCCAGTTGTACTATAAACATTATTATTACACCACAGTATAAATTACATTACCTTCATGAACCGACAAAACTAGATAAAACATGTAAGCAGGTTCTATATAGACTATACTCCTGCATTCTTGTTTGTTTGTCCCCTCCAGGGTGAAAGTCTTTTGGATTAAGATTTCAATGATGAGAATCAGACGGGTACAAATCCCAGAAACTTGATCAGTCTGTATAACACAGTATTAGGGCACCTGATGGTTACCTGGTAACCTGAAGTCTGCCCTTGGCAGTGACTACAAAAATACCCTTGACAGAGAATCCGAAAATGGTTACAGGAAAGTGGCATGCTTCTTTCTTCAAGAGTCATTAATCTGCTGAAGTTTCTCCACAAAATGGGAGGGTGTAAATTAACAGGGCTGTATTTTATTACCATTAGCCAGCTGTATATGTGCATATGAATCACATAGCCTTATTATGTTGACTAAACTGAATGTAAATGTCACCAGGTTTAATGAAAACTGTTCTTCTTCTGCCTTCTATCTCCCAGGGGGCAAATGCCCTTAATCAGCTCACACCAAGTCATTCTATCGTTTGCTATCGAATGCAGCTCTCCCCCATCTTTTAAACTTAACTCTTTAGGTCTCTTCTTTTTTTTTTTTTCTTCCTTTATTTTTATGCTTCTGTGGGTTCAAGTGCAAAAACATTCTAGTTAAACTATTCTCAGATTTTCACAGTGTGTGACCTATCCAACGCCTGAATATTCTCTTCACCTCTTGCTCCACAGGAACTTATTTAGTTCTCTCCCAAAGCTGTACATCAGTAATTCTATCATATAAACTCCCTCTATTCTGTGCAGGCACCAGTTAATGAATGTTTAAGGAAGCTATACTGCTGCAATAAATATCCATTTCAGCACCAGAAAAACACTTTTAACTTCAACCTTATTTGACAGCTTGATTTATATTATCAGTATCGAGGGCATAGCTTTCATAGGCTGGCTTTATTTGAGCAGCAAAAAAACCTGCAAAATCTATACTGGGTCCTAATAAAACTAAACTACTGTAGTACATACTTAATACAACAATCCCTTCCTTAAGCACAATAAGCAGCAAGATAATGTATAATCTGTGTAAATGTGGGGTAGAGACAATAGTCTAGTCATAGAATATATAGTACAAGGAAGTATGTGGGATAGAGACAATAGTCTAGTCATAGAATATATAGTACAAGGAAGTATGTGGGATAGAGACAATAGTCTAGTCATAGAGTATATAGTACAAGGAAGTATGTGGGATAGAGACAATAGTCTAGTCATAGAGTAATTAGTACAAAAAAGTCTAGGCAGAGATAATGGTCTAGTCATAGAGTAAATAGTACAAGAAAGACTGTGGGACACATACAATAGTCTAGTCATAGAATATATAGTACAAGGAAGTATGTGGGATAGAGACAATTGTCTAGTCATAGAGTAATTAGTACAAAAAAGTCTAGGCAGAGATAATGGTCTAGTCATAGAGTAAATAGTACAAAAAAGTCTGTGGGACATATACAATAGTCTAGTCATAGAATATATAGTACGAGAAAGTCTGTGGGACATATACAATAGTCTAGACATACAATATATAGTACGAGAAAGTCTGTGGATATATACAATAGTCTAGACATACAATATATAGTACGAGAAAGTCTGTGGGACATATACAATAGTCTAGACATACAATATATACTACGAGAAAGTCTGTGGGACATATACAATAGTCTAGTCATAAAATATATAGTACGAGAAAGTCTGTGGGACATATACAATAGTCTAGACATACAATATATAGTACAAGAAAGTCTGTGGGACATATACAATAGTCTAGACATACAATATATAGTACGAGAAAGTCTGTGGGACATATACAATAGTCTAGACATACAATATATAGTACGAGAAAGTCTGTGGGACATATACAATAGTCTAGTCATAGAATATATAGTACGAGAAAGTCTGTGGGACATATACAATAGTCTAGACATACAATATATAGTACGTGAAAGTCTGTGGGACATATACAATAGTCTAGTCATACAATATATAGTACAAGAAAGTCTGTGGGACATATACAATAGTCTAGACATACAATATATAGTACGTGAAAGTCTGTGGGACATATACAATAGTCTAGACATACAATATATAGTACAAGAAAGTCTGTGGGACATATACAATAGTCTAGACATACAATATATAGTACGAGAAAGTCTGTGGGACATATACAATAGTCTAGACATACAATATATAGTACAAGAAAGTCTGTGGGACATATACAATAGTCTAGACATACAATATATAGTACAAGAAAGTCTGTGGGACATATACAATAGTCTAGACATACAATATATAGTACGTGAAAGTCTGTGGGACATATACAATAGTCTAGACATACAATATATAGTACAAGAAAGTCTGTGAGACATATACAATAGTCTAGACATACAATATATAGTACAAGAAAGTCTGTGAGACATAAACAATAGTCTAGTCATAGAATATATAGTACAAGAAAGTCTGTGAGACATAAACAATAGTCTAGTCATAGAATATATAGTACAAGAAAGTCTGTGAGACATATACAATAGTCTAGACATACAATATATAGTACGTGAAAGTCTGTGGGACATATACAATAGTCTAGACATACAATATATAGTACAAGAAAGTCTGTGAGACATATACAATAGTCTAGACATACAATATATAGTACAAGAAAGTCTGTGAGACATAAACAATAGTCTAGTCATAGAATATATAGTACAAGAAAGTCTGTGAGACATAAACAATAGTCTAGTCATAGAATATATAGTACAAGAAAGTCTGTGAGACATATACAATAGTCTAGACATACAATATATAGTACAAGAAAGTCTGTGGGACATATACAATAGTCTAGTCATAGAATATATAGTACAAGAAAGTCTGTGAGACATAAACAATAGTCTAGTCATAGAATATATAGTACAAGAAAGTCTGTGGGACATATACAATAGTCTAGACATACAATATATAGTACAAGAAAGTCTGTGGGACATATACAATAGTCTAGTCATAGAATATATAGTACAAGAAAGTCTGTGGGACATAAACAATAGTCGAATCATAGAATATATAGTAGAAAAAAGACACAAGCTGACAGACAGACATTGGACGGGTAGACAGACATGCAGAAAATATGACCAACATGGGATGGGTAAACTGACATACATACAAGCTGACAGACAGAAGGAGTGAGTAGGCAGACAGATGGGATGGGTACATCTACAAATACCCTAGATCTGTAATAATCTAACGCAAATCCACATTGTTAGGATTGTTAAAATATACACCAGCAACTAGTGGCATCTACAATTCCGAGAGGAAGACCAACAACGGTGTTCCTAAATAGACAGCTTAATACGATAGTTTGATCTCTTCGTAAACGGACAGTTCCTGGACAAAAAATTCAGTCTTCAAACGTCAGCCACACACACACGCGCGCACGCACGCACGCACACACACACACACACACACACACACACACACACACACACACATTGGGTTGATTGCCAGTATTTGCCACCGTTAGGGGCGAGCTAGAACAGGGAAGTCGTTGTCCTGTTTCTCCCTTATGAGGTCCTGTACTGCCACCTTTCCTTCTTTATCACTGACAGTATCCAGTGTGGGTTAGATCTCGTCTGCCTCTTCAGTGTCCATCATGGTGAATAACTTGTCGGATGTAGTGTCAACAACGCTGGAATATTGAAGAAGATATATTATGTGTCTAGTTTTATTATACTAGATGAGATCAGGATAAGCAACTCCTATGATAAGACAATCATCAGCAAACTATAACCGCTATTTATATGTTCAATACTTTGGCATATTTGTACCAGGGCCAGAAAGCCCCATAGTACTACTATTAAAAAATGAGGAAAGAAAATAGGAAATAGATAGATTCGTTCAGGTGGGGGCTAGAAACAAATGTATTCTAGTCCAGGCATTAGATCTTCTGTGTAAAGTCTAATAAGTCAGGTAATAATCAACTAAACTAAACAACTAGACTAGTAAACTAACTAGAAGTCCTAAGCTGAAGGAAACAACTGCAACTATGGATACAACGTTGAACATAATTTTATTGAACTTCACATCAGCATGGCCAAAAAGTAACGACATAAACGACCACGTGCTGAAACAAAACCTCAAACATACAGCAATTTACCATTTAACTATTCCTTGTCTAGAATACCAATGAAAATCTATTTTAACCAACTAACCACTGAACGTACCCTTGACTGCCATCAGTCCGACCACGAACGTTACCTGTGGTCGCCATGCCCATAGACCAGCCCATTGTGCAAAGCATCAGTCTTCTTGGGTCAGGCTTCCACAGGTTGGTCCGGAAGTCGAATAGAACGCTGCGAGACTAGACAAAATCTTTTATACCCAGCGAGCCAGATTTTTCCCCATCTTTCGTATACTTTATTAACTGTCAATGTTTCTCAAAAGGCCGGTTAGCATTTTTAAACCAGGATAAACCTCTCAAAGACCTTTAATCTGTTGTACTGTAGTCTTCGTCGCTTCCACCCTACTACACGTCGGATTATTATTTTTGTTGACGTCCCGGCAACTACACAATATGTAACATCAATTGTCTAAAAATCATCTCCCAACTCCTGTTCTACATCCAACAGAGTTACTGGCCATAGCCACCTGAAATAAAATCATTCCCCTGACATTATGTAATCACTAGTTTCTTGCAGTACCACTAATAACATTCACTCAAAAATAGCTGACATCGATATATGGTCAAAGCATGACTCGTCCCAAGGAAACTGGATAAGGAACGTATAAGTCCCAAATAAGAAATTACAAAGATGGCAGTAGTCATGAAACATCCAGTGAACATTTGCGTTCGAGTTTCAGCTACCATCTGCAAAATCACTACAAATCCCCCCTCTACATCAATAATGGCGATATCATCGGAACACGTTAGCGTGTGCGCTTTGGTCCGAGACACCATCAGAGTAGAACAAACCCCCAATTAATCCGCTCCTCGCTAGAACAATGCGTTAAACACATATCAAATCACTACTAAAACACAACAAGCAAAACTTCAAATAAAATAAAAAAAAATGTTTACTGCAATAAAACATAGTAATCAGTTAACATCCGGATTCTTGATCAGTTGGATTTCCTCTCCGACGTCCAGTAATTCTCCGTAGATAAGTCGTCATATTTGATACCTCAGCCGCAGGGCTTACAATGGACATTTTCGTTTACTACCTCGGCCAAAGGCCTACAAAAGACATTGTCTCGGCCGCGTGGCCTTGGAGAGACGTAACACACTCTTGTCTCGGCCGCGTGGCCCTCGAGAGACATATCGGACATTACCTCGGCTTTGGCATAGCTTACAATTACCTCGGCTTTGGCATAGCCTACAAACGGACATTTTCGTTTACTACCTCGGCCACAGGCCTACAATGGACATTGTCTCGGCCGCGTGGCCCTCGAGAGACATAACACACTCTTGTCTCGGCCGCGTGGCCATCAGAGACATATCGGACATTACCTCGGCCTCATGGAAGGCCTACAATTACCTCGGCTTTGAAAAAGCCTACAATGGACTGATCGGACACGTTACCACTTTTGCCAATGTCTCGGCCGCTCGGCCATCAAGAGACAATCCTCCCGTCACTGCCAACACCGCTTGGCTTCGAAGTGACATTCAACAATTACCTCGGCCGAAGCCTACATGAGAATGAAACGAAATTACCTCGGCCGAAGCCTACAATGTTTCAACTGGTACCAGCAATGTTAAAAAACGTCATTGCTTAAGTGGCTCGGTCGGTGTACTTTAAACAAGGCTCCCTACTATACAAACAGACCTACAGTTAAACCTTGATGTGGAGACATAAATCAAGATAAACTGACCCCAAGTTTAGGTCGAGACGTAAACCAGTCACTCCGTGGACAATAGACAAAACCACTCCTAGTCGACAATAGACACTGACCACTTCTAGTTAACTTAACAATAGACGCCGACTACTGCTAATGAAAACAAAACTAACATCTGGTCACACAATAAAACTACACAGGCTGAACCTACACAAGTCCTAAACCAAATTAAAATCAAGACGCGATAATCTGAGCCGTCTAGACCTGGCTAATTAAATTACTCCACAACTCTACTCATCCGTGAACAAGATGATATAAAACCTAACTATGAACAACCCAAGTCTTCGATAACGAAACCACACACTTGGGCGAACATATTTAAAGTCTGAAACAAAAGAGCACGTGGGCGCCATAAAAACCGAATTTAAAATTAAAAAATCACTACTATTACCTGCACAAACTAGAACTCCTGGGTGAATTAAATCCTGTCACATCTAACTAAACAAATATCAACAAAAGACTGCAATATAGAAGCCCCACAAGTTGGGCGCCATTTAAAAATCAATCTAAACTATGAACTACTATTATTACTTGAACTAACTAGGCTAGACACAAATTATCTAATGGCCACCAAAATCCTTGCCAGACGACGCCATTTGTACTAGGGGGAAGAAGCCCTAAGTACCAAAATAAAAAAAAAGGGAAAATAGTAGTTCATTTAGGTGGGGGCTAGAAACAAATGTATTCTAGTCCAGGCATTAGATCTTCTGTGTAAAGTCTAATAAGTCAGGTAATAATCAACTAAACTAAACAACTAGACTAGTAAACTAACTAGAAGTCCTAAGCTGAAGGAAACAACTGCAACTATGGATACAACGTTGAACATAATTTTATTGAACTTCACATCAGCATGGCCAAAAAGTAACGACATAAACGACCACGTGCTGAAACAAAACCTCAAACATACAGCAATTTACCATTTAACTATTCCTTGTCTAGAATACCAATGAAAATCTATTTTAACCAACTAACCACTGAACGTACCCTTGACTGCCATCAGTCCGACCACGAACGTTACCTGTGGTCGCCATGCCCATAGACCAGCCCATTGTGCAAAGCATCAGTCTTCTTGGGTCAGGCTTCCACAGGTTGGTCCGGAAGTCGAATAGAACGCTGCGAGACTAGACAAAATCTTTTATACCCAGCGAGCCAGATTTTTCCCCATCTTTCGTATACTTTATTAACTGTCAATGTTTCTCAAAAGGCCGGTTAGCATTTTTAAACCAGGATAAACCTCTCAAAGACCTTTAATCTGTTGTACTGTAGTCTTCGTCGCTTCCACCCTACTACATATTTATCAAAAGAAAAAAGTGGAGATGGTTTGCACATGTTTGTAGAATACTTCATGCCACTTTGGCAGGGACAGCCCTCTGATGGACGGCAGAAGGGAGGAAAGATAAGACGTGATTGACTTAACCTGGACAGTGCAAAGGGGTGAAAATGAGTTTCTTATTCACTGCAATCGGGTTTTCCCAGACTTGCTCCGTTCCTGTGCCAGTGCACGGCCCTCTGGAGAGGGCAGTGGCCAGTGCAAATCAAATGAAAGGTCCCTCACTGTCACATTCGGAAAAAAACTGGTGAACAAACAATTAGTCGCGGAACAATCTAGAAATATACATATAGTCGATGCTCTAGACTTTAACCTCTAACCTGTGAATTGCTTGTGTCAACAGTTACACGAAGGGGGTGTAGATAGATGAGACAAGTGGGCGTTGGGAGTATTTGATGTGAACGCAGTTTCACATTCACTGACAAACCAGCTTTACACACATGCCGTCATTGTAACTGACTCACAAAGCATTTTGAGAACAGTGGAGACGGGCATGCTCCGTGCAGAGTGGCAAGCATCACTTTAAAGGTCCCGGGTAGTTTGCATCCTTTGGATATTTCCTTCAGGGAATGCCGGTGTGTTGGAAAATGAGCAGGCAGATAGACTGGCTGGTTCTGCACAACTTAGTGGTGAACTGATGTATGACAAGCTGGATGTTCTCAGGGCCTTTGGGAGCGAGTGAACAGTGCCGAGGCACAGACAGATCATTACGGTTTGAGGAGAATGACACTGCGAGGAGTTACGAGGTGATGTGACCGACGCTCGACACTCAGGGGAAAGGCGAGAAGGATTTACAATCAGACAGTTACTGGTACCATCGGAATTTTAACTCTTCGCTTGCTGCTGAAGATGGGGACGGAGCGCTTATAGGGGTGTCCCGAGTGATGTGATATCGATTCCTAATTCAACATTCACCAACAAACCAAGGTTGAGATCCCTTATATAAAATGTGTATCGATAAATCAGGCAACATCCAACAGATACTGCGGTTAGTCCTGCAGAGGTCATGTGACTAAGATTTATCTACAGTTTAGGTTTGAAGTTTAAACAACGGGTCGACATCATACACACGGGTAGTAACCCATAAGTGCTCCGTTCTTCTTTTAACTGAAGTCTGAGTCCGAAGAAGCTCAGCACAGTGTACAGGCGAGGATCCTGAAATACGTTGGGTAGATTTTTAACTCCAAATTTTGACCGGGCAGCACCGTTAGGCTACTCTTTTCGATTTTCAACTGCCAAGGGATTTTTTACGTGCGCATCAATGCACATGGGCGTCAGATCTCACTACCCAGAGACCAGGGAAAATACTGGAAGTCCAAGACCACGTGACAAAATCCCAGCCCTTACTAGGGATGGAACCCGGAAACTATGCTTCTGTGGCTAAGCGCTGTGGTGATGCCGTGGCCAGATGCTTGCCTGTCCCCTGAAAGGCTGAGTTTCAATCTGCACCAGGCACATTTTTCAACAACAGCAACAACATTTGTATACGGTTCCAGTGTCGACCCAGTATAAAATGAGAGCCAGGTAATTAAATCGGAAATAAAGGCGACCGGTTTGATGCTGACTCCATCACCCATTAGGTGCCAGTAGGGCAATGCACATTAATCTAGCCTCGCTACTGGCCTGACAAGGATCCGTTACTGTTTTACTATAAGGCAGTGAATCTTAGAATGTGCATGGACTCATCTGGATAAATCTGAAAATATGGGGTTCTAAGATGCATTGTGTGAATTAATACCCTGAACAGCCAGAGTAGCATCCATTTATTCATTGTACTGATATGTCATCATGTGTCAAATAAGGCTGGTAGTTTACTGTCCCCCTCCATTCTATCCTATGGAATCACTTTAACATCATTGATGCAATCCAGCAGCTTTGGCTTCTGTAATCAACGTTCACATTAGGGTTTCTCTGGACGCCCTCATTTCCTTAATCGCTCTATTTCCTATGTCGGTGTCTGTGTGGTAATGATTCCCTGTTAATCTCTTCTCAGAGTGTGTCAAATATAGCGTCTTATGTGTCTTATAGCTGTTGATACTAGTGGTTGCTCAGACATGTATCTGATTTCTTCACATCTTTGAATTCATCACATTTTATATTCATTTTCTCCCCGTGTGGGTTCCGGAGCCCTGTTATAGGGAAAACAAGAACAGACCCACTGCCTACCTAAAAGCATGTCGTAAGCGTCGTCTCATTGAGAGTATCCTTCAAAGTCAGAGTGCATCTGCCTGAGAGGTAAGAAACCAGCAGTCTGCATACAAATGAGTCAGATCTGTAAAACCGATGCATACGCAACACTCAGGTTCTCAAACAGGACTGCAGTCCAGAAGTGGATGAACAACCAAAACGTTCTGCCAGAGTTTACAGCTGGTGAACGTGAAGACGAAGAAATTCATTTTCCTCGGATATTTAGAGTTGCTTAGAGTGGGACCTAACATTCTTTATATGAGGTGTTTCTTTGTGCTCATTTGGTGATTTGGACTGTTTAGTGCTCCAAACTGTCCCGATATTTGGTTTGCTTTATTGCATCGGGAACGTGAATTTATTCTGTTTGCTGTCTTATTTAGAGTTGCTTAGAGTGGAACCTAACATTCTTTATATGAGGTGTTTCTTTGTGCTCATTTGGTGATTTGGACTGTTTGGTGCTCCAAACTGTCCCGATATTTGGTTTGCTTTATTGCATCGGGAACGTGAATTTATTCTGTTTGCTGTCTTATTTAGAGTTGCTTAGAGTGGAACCTAACATTCTTTATATGAGGTGTTTCTTTGTGCTCATTTGGTGATTTGGACTGTTTGGTGCTCCAAACTGTCCCGATATTTGGTTTGCTTTATTGCATCGGGAACGTGAATTTATTCTGTTTGCTGTCTTCGGAGAATGTTGTTCCCAGATATTTAAACGCAGACGTCTGTTGAATACGTTTGCACTGTATTGTTAAATTTAAGTTCTGTTTCTTTCTACCCATTGACAATACTTTTGTTTTTATTTTCAGTGTTGATTCTCATATTATTTTTTTCACATTCTTCATTCTTGGATAACAGATGTTATAATCGTATGACTGTTTCTGCTATCAAAACCTGGTCATCAGTGCAACATAGTTCATTCAGGGGTTTGCCATCTTTGCTCGTGTCGATCTAGGGAATAAACAGATGGGGTGAAAACACGCTTCCGTCTCACTCGAGATGTTACTGTGAATGGTTTTGATATTTCCTAATTTATTGTACCTACACTTTTACAATCCCTGTAAAAAAATGTTGCACTCTCCCTTGAGATTTTGGCTGACCATGCCGCTCCATCAGGTTATGTCTTTATTTTGGCATCTACGGTGAAACCTTCAGGTACTGAAGGAAGTACACATTATTAACATTTAAACCTGTGTTGAACTCATGGGCTGCGCCCCCCTACAGGTGGGCCTCCAAACTATTCTGCTTAATCGTGTAACGAAACAGTGTACCTGGCTTTCTTTTCCAGTCTGCAGAACTAACTCCTCGAGGACTTTGAATACATATGAATAGACTAAAACAAAACGGAGAAATGTAACGGATATTATTATAGCGCTTCGTATATCAGAAACAGCGCTCAAGGCATATTAATAAATCCCTAACCAGCAGCAGACATTGCATTGGCTGAAAAACTGTAATTTTGTGACATCAGATTCAACAAATAAATTATCTAAATTTGTTTTTAGTTTCGTGTTTGGTTAAATGTCAGGTGGGACGTGAAACAATGTACCCTGTTTTTGTGGGCCGTGGGTGTTCAAAGGTTGAACAGCACTGATTTCAACTATACTGCCTAAACCCAATATAACTTTATGGATGAACAGTGGTTTATCGCGATTTTTCAAACAGGATTCTGAGCCTTGATGTGATTCAGAGGCCTGCAATCTCGGACGGGCCAAACTACAATGCCCCCTAAGCAAACTGGACAGCAGCTGTAATTTGCACTTACTCCTCTCCTAACTGAGCGTAATCGTCCATGTCGTGTGTCGAAACTACAGAACGGCCAAATTGAAAATGTGGACACAGATACAGGAGAGTAACCACTCTCACCACAGGGCAGATGTATAAAATCATTCTCACAACCAGAACCATAATCTTGTTCTTGCCCTGAGAGGAGAAATAATTCATGATTGTTGTACGCTTATTATTGTAGATTATGCCTGTCATAATACCACCAATATGCCTACCACTTTGTCCATGCCTACCACTTTGTCTACTATGCCTACCACTTTGTCTACTACTATATGTACTATAGGGTAAACCTCTATAGCTACCACAGTCTCTACCACTATCCCTACCACAGTCTCTACCACTATCCCTACCACAGTCTCTACCACTATCCCTACCACAGTCTCTACCACTATCCCTGCCACAGTCTCTACCACTATCCCTGCCACAGTCTCTACCACTATCCCTACCACAGTCTCTACCACTATCCCTGCCACAGTCTCTACCACTATCCCTGCCACAGTCTCTACCACTATCCCTGCCACTATCTCTGCCACTATCCCTTCAACAGTCTCTACCACTATCCCTACCACAGTCTCTACCACTATCCCTGCCACAGTCTCTACCACTATCCTTGCCACAGTCTCTACCACTATCCTTGCCACAGTCTCTACCACTATCCTTGCCACAGTCTCTACCACTATCCCTGCCACAGTCTCTACCACTATCCCTGCCACAGTCTCTACCACTATCCCTACCACAGTCTCTACCACTATCCCTACCACAGTCTCTACCACTATCCCTACCACAGTCTCTACCACTATCCCTACCACAGTCTCTACCACTATCCCTACCACAGTCTCTACCACTATCCTTACCACAGTCTCTACCACTATCCCTACCACAGTCTCTACCACAGTCTCTACCACTATCCCTACCACAGTCTCTACCACTATCCCTACCACAGTCTCTACCACTATCCCTACCACAGTCTCTACCACTATCCCTGCCCCAGTCTCTACCACTATCTCTACCACTATCTCTACCACAGTCTCTACCACTATCCCTGCCCCAGTCTCTACCACTATCTCTGAAACAGTCTCTACGACAGCGTCATCTATCATGACATCCACAATGTCTACCAAAATATCTACCCCCATGTCTACTACCCTATCTACCACCAATCTCCCACCATATATACCACCATATCTACCACCACATCTACCACCACATCTACCACCACATCTACCACCACATCTACCACCACATCTACCACCACATCTAACACCACATCTACCACCACATCTACCACCACATCTACCACCACATCTACCACCATATCTACCACCATATCTACCACCATATCTACCACCATATCTACCACCATATCTACCACCATATCTACCACCATATCTACCACCATGTCTACCACCATGTCTACCACCATATCTACCACCATATCTACCACCATATCTACCACCATATCTACCACCATATCTACCACCATATCTACCACCATATCTACCACCATATCTACCACCATGTCTACCACCATATCTACCACCATATCTACCACCATACCTACCACAATATCTACCACAATATCTACCACCATGTCTACCACAATATCTACCACCATGTCTACCATATCTACCACCATATCTACCACCATGTCTACCACAATATCTACCACCATGTCTACCACAATATCTACCACAATATCTACCACAATATCTACCACAATATCTACCACCATGTCTACCATATCTACCACAATATCTACCACCATGTCTACCAAAATATCTACCACCATGTCTACCACCATATCTAACACCATATCTACCACCATATCTACCACCATATCTACCACCATATCTACCACCATTTCTACCACCATTTCTACCACCATTTCTATCACCATATCTACCACCATATCTACCACCATATCTATTACCATATCTACCACCATATCTACCAACATATCTACCACCATATCTACCACCATATCTACCACCATGTCTACCACCATATCTACCACCATATCTACCACCATATCTACCACCATATCTACCACCATATCTACCAAAATATCTACCACCATATCTACCACCATATCTACCACCATATCTACCACCATATCTACCACCATATCTACCACCATATCTACCACCATATCTACCACCATATCTACCACCATATCTACCACCATATCTACAATCTACATTACCACCATATCTACCACCATATCTACCACCATATCTACCACCATATCTACCACCATATCTACCACCATATCTACCACTAATCTACCACCATATCTACCACCATGTCTACCACCATATCTACCACCATATCTACCACCATATCTACCACCATATCTACCACCATATCTACCACCATATCTACCACCATATCTACCACCATATCTACCACCATATCTACCACCATATCTACCACCATATCTACCACCATGTCTACCACCATATCTACCACCATATCCACCACCATATCTACCCCCATATCTACCACCATGTCTACCACCATGTCTACCATATCTACCACCATATCTACCACCATATCTACCACCATATCTACCACCATATCTACCACCATGTCTACCACAATATCTACCACCATGTCTACCATATCTACCACCATGTCTACCATATCTACCACCATATCTACCACCATGTCTACCACAATATCTACCACCATGTCTACCACAATATCTACCACCATATCTACCACCATATCTACCACTATATCTACCACTATATCTACCACCATATCTACCATCATATCTACCACCATATCTACCACCATATCTACCACCAATCTACCACCATGTCTACCACCATATCTACCACCATATCTACCACCATATCTACCACTATATCTACCACTAATCTACCACCATATCTACCACCATGTCATTCCCTATGTCTACCACTAATCTATCACCATATCTATCACCATATCTACCACCACATCTACCATATCTACCAAAATATCTACCATATCTACCACCATATCTACCAAAATATCTACCATATCTACAACCATATCTACCATCACATCTACCATCATATCTACAACCATATCTACCACCATATCTACCACCAATACCACTATATATAACACCAATCTACCACCATATCTACCACTAATCTACCACCATTTCTACCCCTATGTCTACCATCACGTCTTCACCTATGTCTACCACCATGTCATTCCTATGTCTACCACCATATCTACCATATCTACCACCACGTCTACCACCATGTCTACCACCATGTCTACCACCATATCTACCACCATGTCTACCACCATGTCTACCACCATGTCAACCACCATGTCTACCACAATGTCAACCCCTATGTCTACCACCATATCTACCATATCTACCACCACGTCTACCACCATGTCTACCACCATGTCTACCACCATATCTACACCATCTACCACCATATCTACCATCATATCTACCACCATATCTACCCCATGTCTACCACCATGTCTACCACCATATCTACCACCATGTCTACCACCATGTCTACCACCATGTCAACCACCATGTCTACCACAATGTCAACCCCTATGTCTACCACCATGTCTACCACCATGTCTACCACCATGTCTACCACCATGTCTACCACCATGTCTACCACCATGTCTACCACCATGTCTACTACCATGTTTATGGTCATGTCATCCACTGTCATTCACTAGGTTAAACACCATGCCATCCACTCTGTCATCGAGTATGTCTGCCTAACTACTTAACAGAAAAGAATTATTCCTAAATGTGTAATAAAAATCATTGGTTTTATTTTGGGACAAGTACAGAAATTAAAGTATCTGGGCAAATTGATAATATTAGATGGAAGATGTATTACGGAGATAATAAACAGAACAGCACAGGAAAAAACTGATTTTTTTAATGAAGAACATCTTATGCATCTTATCTTTGACACTGAGGGTTAGAAAAAGAATTCTTGCTTGCTACATTAATCCAGTGTTAACATATGGCTGTGAGTCCTGGACAATCGGTAGGCATGCCAAACAATTTCTTGAGACCTCAGAGATTTGGTTTATAGAAGAATGCTTAAAATACCATGGACAGCCAAAAAGAGCTACTAAGAGGTTTTGAAAGAGGCGGGAGCACGAAGACAACAAATCACAGACACCAGAAGGAGACAGTCATCAATTTTTCGGCCATGTTATGAGAAGAGGGAAAATGGAACACGTTGTGACCACCGGAAAGATCTGTGGAAGGAGGGATAGAGGAAGATAACGAAAGAATTTTCTTGACAGTCTTGTTGCTTGGCATTGAGGTGTGTCAGCGCACGAACTAATACATGCTGCAGGAGATCGCAGATTATGGAGAGGCAATGATCGCCCATGCCAGTCGGCAAGGCACCTGATGATGATGATGATCTCGCTGCTGCCTCAAATGCACGAACCGTAACTTCATGCAGCTGCTGGTAAATGGCTGACCGGTAAAATCGTGCCTTAGAGAGTTGCTAAAATAACAAAAATAGAGCACCAACACGCAACTAATCACGTTAAGAGGGTACTCACCATAAACGCTGCAGGTAAGGTGAGCAATCCGCACATTAAGGTGATGATAGTGAAAATCATAACTTTGTTCAGATCGTCCAAGGCACGTCGTGTCACCTTTGAGCCTTGTGACGTGAATATCTTTTTTACCTGAAAACAGACCATTTAATTAATTCATCCGGTAATCGGATTTAAACTGTAAGACAGAATCGCAAATGTGGAGCTTTGAGTGAGAGAGAGAGAGAGAGAGAGAGAGAGAGAGAGAGAGAGAGAGAGAGAGAGAGAGAGAGAGAGAGATAGAGAGAGATGGGCAAACTCCGAGGGAAAAGATTTATATCAGTGGTTCGACATAATGGGAAAAAAACTTGAAAAAAAGGGGGGGGGGGCGGGGTAATCAGAAGAAATATTTACGTTATAAGTTTTCCCTTGAAGTATTTTACAGGATTATAGAGGGAGCTACGTGGTCCAAACACTGTCCCAACCGGCAACGAAGTGTCTACCGGCGAGCCAATCAATTGTCGACCGGGTCACCGACGAACTTCCTAGCCAAAGAGCCGCGCGTATTTATACTGGAGACTGCATGAGACTATTTCAGACTG